TGTTTTTTCAGAGTTAGCGATACCAATACTTTTCTTGAGTCAGAACAAAACTATTTAAGCTGGAATATAAAAATATATGAAAAATCACACATAAACTCGATACCACGACGATCTGTAGAAATAAACACAATCACGAAAACGATTTTTCTTTTTTTCAGACTCAGAGTAAAAATTAATTTAAATTTAATGTAAAGTACACGAAATCTAAGAAACGTTTGGAATCGACGAAACAATACAGTATAAATTAACTCTTTGAATAAATTGAAGTGAAAGTGAGAACGCCTTTCACATTTCACTGCCATTATATTGTTAACAATTATTTATATTGATTTTAATTATTAAATGGCATTCAATGAAATTCATATTAGGAAATTTCTGTACTTTTCTCCAAATTTCCTCCAAGTTTGGGTCAAAATGAACGCTCAGTTTTTATAAAATTAAAATAAAATTTTCAACTTTTAATTCTATTTGTTCTAAAGGTTACTTAATGATTTTCAATAAATTTAAATTAGTTTTTACTCTTAGTTTGTAAAAAAGAATAATCTTATTTGTGATTGTGTTTATTTCTAGTGAAGTTCAACTAGCTCGTTACGTACATCGAGTTTCTTTGTGATTTTTACATATATTTTTAAATTGCAGCTTAAACAGTTTTGTTCTGATTGAAGAAAAGTATTGGTCTCGTTTACTTTGAAAAAAAAAAAAAAAGTTTAGTTTTTTCTTATGGATGTTTTGTTCTATCCATTTTAGGAGTGAACACATACAGAATAAGTACATATTACTACTGTTAGTGCAAAAGGTCGTATGTAAACATTTTCAACTTTTAATTCGATTTATGCTAAAGGTGACATTTTGTATTCTGCAACTGATATAAACATTCTGCTACGATGAAAAATAGCAGAGAAATTATTATTAAATTATAAATTATTATTATTATATGAAATTATTATTATAAATTATGAAATTATACTAATAAATCATATAGAAACAATTAGTTGTTATCCTTTCCTGAAAAACATTCAATGTTTACAAACGACATTTTGCACTAACAGTAATTAGTCTGTGGGACAGACCCCCTTATCGTGCACCCTCCCCCCACATCCCTATAAATTGCATATCGTTGTGTTCCTAGGTAACTATTTATTAAAGAAAAGCCAATGTTCCCACAAAAAAAAAGTGAACGCACTGCCCAAAGATGGCGGATTGACGACTTTGACTTTAGTTAGTTTTTTGGTCACTGAGAATCAGCATTTGGCTCAATTTCCTCACAGTTGGTCTTTTATTAAAGCTGAATAGTCATAAAATAATAAAACATGAAGAAATATTAAAAAATAATTGGCTTAGGCTATGAAAAACACCAGTAAATTCAATTTTTTTAACAAAAAAATTTTCAAGTTACAAATCAAGCGTCGTTTGTAATTAAACGGCCTACAATAACGCAAAACGTGCTGAAATAAAACATCTGGAGAATATATTTATCTTTCTAAAACGCTGATTATTTTCAAAAAAATGTAAAGCAGTTCCGTAGAAAATGCACTTATGCGGCAGAAAAACGGTACTGGCGTGGGTGCCTACAGGCCTCTACCACACCATTCAGTACACATAAATGGCTTAGTTATAGTTATATAATAAAATATTTGGTACATTATATTGGTTTCATTAACAAAAAAATACTAATGCAATAATTTAATTGTAAAAAAAAATTAAAATTTTTTAAAAAAAATTATCATTTTTTTTTTTAAATTTAACCTCCTTTATTCTATACGTAGGTCGTTTAAGAAGACCTCAATTGTAAAAATGATATAATTATAATAACAAAACTTAATTAAAAAATATCTTGATTTTTTTTTATTTAACGTTTGAAATTTAACACTGTGTTTTGTATATTTACTGATTCTTAGAGGTAATTAAAATTTGTATACACTTTCCAGGAAATGAGTCATATTAATACCTGTTTTATAAACTAAAATAATATATACCTAATCTGAACTATATATAATGAATAGCTACCGGGTTGTTTAGTAAAATTCATGTATCACTAATTAAAAAATTAATTTTTATTTCCTTTATTTTGTGCGGAAGTTGGACTACATCATAAATAAATAGGAAATTTTAATATTGAATGAATTATTCTTCTGCACAAAGAGAGATAGAAAGGGTGACGCTATAAGTTCTTCTATAAACCAGAACTGATTGTTTGTTTTTGGTCTCAAAATGAGGAAAAACGCGAAATTGAATCAGAAAATTGGAAAAATACATTAAGCGAACGAGAAAGGAAGTGCCAAAACCTCGGAAAAGATAAAAAGGACCATTATCCATTATATAGCTAAATGAATGTATAGTAGACAGATGAACAGAATACTTCAAGATGCTGCTAAAAGGAGGTCAATTGCAGTACAAGACTTTACACCTTTGCCCTCAGTTCCGGTCAGCGTCATGGCTGCTATATTAACAAGGAAACAAAATCAATGAATAGCATTATCATTTCGACATAGTTTATTAATATAGCAACATCCGGGAACGATAGTTCATTATATTGAAAGTTACAACGCTATCTGTAGGTTGGACATTGCACATCTTCTAGTACCAGAAAGTCCATTTTCTGACAGAAGACAATCAGGTAACTATTATGGATTCTCGAACTTTTTTATTTGTAGTTTTTTTTGTCAACTCCTCCCTCGTATTTCAATCTATACGGTTTTTTTACTGTGATAAATTTAGATTTATCAGATTGCCGGGAAACGCGTGTTTTAACTCTAGCATTAAAAACTGAGGAACCGATGAATAAAAAAAAAAAAAAACTGAGGTATGTGTTTTAGACCACACGATAAAAGTGAAAACATTAACACGATAAAATCAATAATAACAAGTAATAAACAACTGTTTTTATACAATTGCATGTTTTGTTTTGAGTGATTTTTCTTAATCACTGATCAAATATCTTTACGAATTAGAACGGATAAATGCATATAATTGCATATTTTGATTAATTTTATGAAATAAACTATCTCTATTTCTATTAATATATATATATATAGTGTTCCGCAATCAGAGGGAAAATTTTAATAGATTGATAGTAGACATAAAGAGCTACAAAATGTCCAAGTAAACAATTGCCCAATTTCCAGCAGAAAAATAGTGTTATTTTGGACGTCTCGTTTTTTTGTTGAATATGATGTGATTACTAAAAATATACTTAACTTAAGTAATTACCAATTGCTTCACAATAAACTAGACAAAATTGACTTTAAATGAAAATAGAGTTTTGAAATTTTCAAAACCCAGAAAGTGGACTTTTAAGCAACTAAACTAAGCTATGTTTTTATAAAATTCTTAAATTATTTGTGATTTTTATTTAACAAGATGGGTGTATAATAATAAATATAAATGCATAAAAATACTTTTTAATTCTAAAAAATAAAAATTAAAAAATGATTACGAATTCCTCTCTTATCCAATCTTTACAATCCAAAATCCTTCATAAAATCCTGTAATGTGGCATCAATTGGGATAAGACTTTAATGATATTAAAGACCACTTAATTATACAATTATTCACCGAATTTAATCAAAATCGTTAGAGCCGTTTTTGAGAAAACTGTAAAAATGTGTTTCAGCTTTGACATAAAGTGGCACTTCCGGTTAGCCGATTTTAAGCAAAAAGTTGCTGTCACATCTAAGGCATATATCTATCTTAAATACGTAATATTAGTTTCGTACGACTTTTCGTTTTCGAGCTAGACTGCTAACATACACACACAGACCAATTTTCGGGACTTGGTCATTTCGACTCAGAGTCGAAAATTTTTCACGATAGCAATACTATCCGTTACTATATATTTGACATATAGGTATGTGAAAGTAAAAAACAGCTCGTTCGATTTTAGTGTTGATCAAAATCAGTCTTGGTCTTACACTTTGCACGACCAAGACCAAGCCCCCTAACCGTTGCAAGACCAATACTAAGAGTGGTTAAAAAAAATTTGAATAGCAATCAAGGTAAAATAGTTACTAATACTTGACAATTTTAATTACTATATGTAAAGAATTGGTATAACCAACATACTTTTGCATTTAACTCTTCTAATTTTTCATTCAGGCTTAGTTAGGTTTCTCCTATTTAAAAAAATACAATAATATCTCTTTAGTAATAAGCTAATAGGTTACTGCAAGACTGTTGCGGGACTCTTGCGCAAGACCAAGACTGAGTTTGCAAGACCAAGACTTTGGTCTCGCATTCGGGCAACACTCGATTTATCTGAAGATGTAGCAAATTCGGAGAATTGAGCACAAATAGTCTAGTATCGAATTCATCAAATTCCATTTAAGAATAACAATAACTGATTGTCAAAAATATAAAGGCTGTCAAACGTAGCAGGCAATGAACCAATCTGAATAAAAACAAAAATGAAAGAAATTGTTCGGAATGGCTATTCCAAGATGGCGACTGGGTTCAAGATCATTTTGAATACACAGTAGATAGAATTCCAAATCCGAGTGTTTGTAACACAATTCGAGTGTGTCCAAAAGTAGACATAGATAACCACCGCTGTTCTTTTATAGAAAAATGTTTACATTATGATGAAATATGACCGCCACCCTAGACTATCTCCTTCCTTTAAAATACACAACGGTCAACTATTAAGTATTAAAAAAAAAATCCATTTCGGAGTGGATGGGGGGGGGGACGATTGGAGGAGACTTCAGCCCTAAAGTGATCAATAACTGGTTTCGACTGGATGTAATTAATTTTATAATCTCGTGTATATTTGTAGGATATACTTCCAGTTTGTATATATTTCATATATAGCAAGTGAAAATAAAATGAGAGTACATAGTGATTGCTATTTACCTTAGATCACTCACATAAGCAAACATGGAATAAAGAAAAAAATATATATTTTTCCATTTCAGAGTTGGGAGGGGAGACTTCAGCCATAAAGTGATCAATAACCGGTATCGACTGGATGTAATTGATTTTATAATCTGATGTGTATTTCTAGGACGATGGAGACGATTATGTATGCTGTCCTGACAATTATAATGGCGAACCTGGTCTTTGGTGTATTTCTTTGGTTTAAAGTGCGGAAGCTCTATTGCTATCCTGGGGTCTTGGGTTTCCCTGTTATCGGGAACCTCTACAACGCCTACAAATCACTATTAATGATTACTATTGACAGTAAGTATGAGAAAGAGGTTTATAAGGACAATTTATACTTGTTAAGGCTCGAATTATATATTTTTATTAAGGTAACTATAAGTTATAAGTTAACTCAGCTAAACCAATTATCTTCTCTTCTTAGCCATTTCCTCTTCTACCGCTGAGCGGTGTGAGGAGCCTTCTTGTAGAGCCGAATCCATAACTCTCGATCCTGAGCCAACTGCCGCCTCCTCCTCCAGTCAATATCCCTTCTGTCAAAGGCCTCCTTGACAATGTTCTCCCAGGTCTTCCTGTGCCTTCCCTGAAGACCTCAGTTCTTCCCTCCACTTTACTTTCCACCGCTATCCTGGCCATTCGATTCTCTGTCATTCGAGAGACATGACCAAACCGTCTCAAACGATTTTCCTATATCACAGTTTCGGCTGATCTTACATTCAGATTTTTCCGTATTATGGAGTTTCTTATGCGATCTCTCTTTCTTTTTCCTTCGACCCTGCGCAGGAATCGCATATCCATGGCCTGAATCTGACTGATGTGCTTTGTGGTGATGGTCCATGCTTTGCTTGAGTAAGTCATTATCGGGAGGAAAGTATTTTTGTACACAGTCATTTTGGTCTCTTTACTCACTTCTCTCTTGTTCAAGAATCCCTTATTGAAGGCGTTGAAGCACCTTCCTGCAGATTTCACTCATTCCTTTATTTCTCCGTCGATCCATAAACCAATTTAACATGTAGTTACATATGATGGATAGAAACAAAAGTATTTTAAATTCAAGGGATTTGTTGCAATATTTATTGCTGCATTGTTTGCGGGCAAATGTCATTTGTTATAAGAAAGCTGGCTATCAGTGTTGTCGTTTGTACGAAGATACTCGTATTTGTACGAGGTTATGACGTAATGTACGAGGTACGAGGATCGACCTGTGTTATTATTTATATTGCTATGTCTTATTCCCCAAAAAGGGATGAAATATAAAAGATGCTACGTTTAGGGGTGTTGAAATTTATTCGGAATGCCATTGGGTAATTATTGAGAATAAATATCCAGAATTATTTAATAATAATTAATTAATAAAATATTAGTTAAACAAATTTGGTTCTTTATCATATTTAGTCCATGATTAATTAATTGGATTTCTTTTCTCAAATTCTGGTTTGTGTTTATCGTGCTTTCTAGTTACACATATTGCTTGTGATCATTCTGATATAAATAGGTGGAATGTATAAAATAACTTTTACTAATAAACTTAATTTATTTCAAGAATATATACAAATTATATTTACAAGAATTACCGATTATAGTTACAAGAATAAAAGAATTCAGTAATTAACTGTGAAGGCATGATTTCAGATGGACTGTTTTGAAAATTATATTGCCATGAAATATTATAACATCCATAATTTTATTGTTGGGAATAAAACTTATCTATTGTATATGAAGTGATGTAGTTGGTAGACGTCGTCGCTGCATCTGCTGATGCGAAATCATCTGGTCAAGCTCCCAGGATCATCATGGTCTATGTAGGGCCAAGGCTTCGGTCCCCAAGCCGGAAGAAAACGTAAGGGCCCATCCTCAAGGCCGGATCTCCACATAAGCCCTCTCCTCTATGCATCTCAGTAGATTTTATAGAAATATTCGGGGTGGGGCAAGAATGGTTCTCATTGGTTGAATTTTTGTAGCATAGGGATGACCACGCCTCCAGGCCGTAAGGCTGGTTCCTCTTTCTCGAAGATGTTTCTGTTCCCTTCCTTGCTTAGACAAACCTTTCGATCCTCTCCAAACATGCCCACGTAAGACCGGTGTCGGTCTTTTGGTGTTTTTGCCGACTGCTGTCCTTAAATGTTTTATTGCCCCTCACAAAAGGTTGCATTCCCTAGGGTGTCTTTAATCTCTCTCAGGTAACCGGATATATGTTAGCAATTATTATTTAGACTATACTTATTCATTTGAAATAATTAAATATATTCCAAATGTGGTCCTTACAACAATACAATAGCAATATTAATATGTAAAACTAAAAACTTCTGTTGCTTCTAAGACAAATATATCTCCTTTAATTGGAGTATGATTATTATTTCTTTCAGAAAACCATGATTATATACATGTGTTTTTTTTAATTTTCTAGAAAACAAAATTAAAAAAAATTTTTTTCCGTCATTATAAAAAAAATAATTAGTTTTTTACCGGGTACAAATTAGAATATAAGAAAGCATATGCTTCATAAAACTACGATAGTTACATAATTAATTTAAATAGCTCTAAGTAAGCAAAATAAAAATTTAATAATGAAAAAAATACTATTTATTCATTTAAATTATATTTAACCTAGTTTCGAACTTGTATGTAATTATAATAATGTGTTTTCCATTTATGTTTAATAATTATAGGAATATTTTATCCTTTAAATAGTTTATTTTTCTAATTTGATTTTTATAGAAAGTTTATATTAGTTTCTAAAAATATATGCTTTTTCTTATATTTATATTTAATTTCGTTCCTTTAATTAAACTCATTTTACTTCTTGACCCATTGACTTACATTCTGAAAAAAAATGTAAGAAGGATTTAAAATAATGTGAATAGGAAAACTAATATGGTAATTATAACTTCTTTTTTGTCTTCTTTCTAGCGCTTTTCTTCTTAGATTTGTTTTCATCATCAGGAAAACATAGTCAAGACGAATTTTCGCTTTTTATTACATAACAGAATATTTTCTGGTCGTTTTCTTTTTTTGATATTATAAAAAAAAACAGTAGTTCATTTCTTTTTTAACAGATACCCGTTTTTAATAGGTATTAATTTGTTCATATCAGACTCATTTAATGCATAACATTTTATTAATAACTTTATATTTATACTATTTACCATTCAATGTAGAAGTAAACCTAGTTGATCTTTGATTGTTTTATTTTTTTAAAACAATGAATGAGATGATATGGTTGCTAAGTGGGCATATAAATGTGTTGCAATAAGTATTACCAACACTGTCATTGGACATATGGTACCGATAATATAGAGAAAAGTAAAACAATCATAAAGATCGACGGGAAAATATTTTTATAATGCTATATCATATCATATCGATAATTCGTACATTCGATAATCAATAGAGCTGCTAAGCAAAGTTCTGATTTAATCATAGTTAAAAAAAAAACAACATGATCCTACAATAGTACGAATAATCAATGAGGAAGCGTACGAGGTTTGAGGTACGAGAATTGGTCACAGAGCGCGAAGCAGTCAGTTATAAATATTTAGTCTCACTTCTCGTCCAGGCGTCTCGGTGCGTAGTCAAGAATCGTCCTATAATGGAATCCATATGATCTAAAAAGAAGAAGAAGAGGGCGTCAAAAGAAAAGATGGAGCGAAATGTCCATGCTGTTGGCAGGACTCTCTGGTGGAGAACTGCTAGGGACAAGGATGTCTGGAAGGAGAAGTGGGCAGGACTCGCATCTCAGTAGGACCAGTCGTCCTGGAAAGGATGAAGAAAAGAAGAAGAAAAAAAAAATAGTCAGTATTATTAATTTCTTGTTTCATTTAATTAATGTATATTTATTTGATTGTATCAAGAATAATTTTTTGCATATATGAAGGTTATTTCATTTATTCAGGAGGAGTCAAGTACGGAATCAAAGTGGCTGAAAAACATGGAAAGGATGGGATATTCTTCCATTGGATATTCGGTTCCACTGTACTGGCGGTGATTACCAGCCCTCATCTTGTGAAGGTAATATTTAAATAATAATAATAGAAGGCTTAGCGAACCCGAAGGTTCGATGCCGACACCACCAATCGCTAATTACATACCTCCCTCCACCGTTCGCCGTCCAAACCCAGTCCCTTCGGATCGGCTTTAATGCAATCTTCCGACGTTTACCATTCGGTACAGCAAATATTAACCTTTTAGGAATTCTCTTATAATATAAGTAATTATATAAATATAACTTTATTCTGGGAGAATGTTCCTTGAGAATAATAGCAGTTACAGACAAATCTTATATATTATTTCTAATAGGTGTGTTTTTTTTTTGTCGGTACGCCATAACTTCGTTAATTCTTCATCCAATGATTGACCACTCATTTTGAAGATATTCTTCTCCTTCACATGCGAAAAATAGTCATATTCCTCCGAAATTTCTGGAAAAACGTTATGAAGGAAAATATTTGCGAAATTTTTTTCTTGATTGTACACATCATAATTAGGAAGACAACTAAATTTTCTACAAAAAAAAATCGGAGAGTTATTAACAAAGATATATTTAGTTTTGGTATACTTAATAATTTCTTCCTCTTTAAAGATATTGCAATGAATTTGGATGCCTGAAATGTGAATCATAGTGCCGCTTTCTATATTATTATATTATATATTATACTATTATATTATAAAATCGATATTATACTAAAGACATTTATTTTTAATGTGCATACTTGATAAAATTAATGTTTCCTTCATACAGAAATTATCATTTCATCCCAACCTGGCTGATAAGCCTTCTGAAGCCTATGAGGGATATAAAATTTGCATGGAAGGACCGTTTTCCGATATACGTAAGTAACAGATAAATTTTGTTAAAATATTTATATATTTATAATATAATATTTATATATATACGGCGACTCACGGTCAAAATGATACACACTTGGTTATTGATTGAAATTATTGAATAAATAAATAGTTCAATTTATATAACATTAAAAACAATATTTTTAAAAATCAATAAACATCCTAGCAAAGTGTTATTTTATTATGTTCTTTTAAGATTCTTGTATGGCATGTATGGCAGCTTCTGGTGTAGAAAATATTCACATGTTATAGTGAATAAACTTTATATAATGTATCATTTGCGACATAAAACGGTGAGTCAACTATCCTTCGCAACACATTTGACTGGAAGGACTCAATTTTTTTAATGTTGGAAGTTTTAGCAGAACTCCCCAGTTCTATGCTGTTATAGATTAAAGTAAAATTTTATAAAGGGTTAGTTTGTTAGTTAAAGATAATTTTGAGCGTCTGTCAAGTAATCTGGATAAAAGACCGTATCGTCTGTTTAATTCTATTCGTTTTTGTCTGATGTGAGTCCTCCATGTAAGTCTTTGGTCCAGGTAAAAACCTAAATTCCTAATTACATCTGATGTCTATTATAGGCCATAGGTCACCAAAAAAACACAGTTTTTTTTATATATTACAGGTATGTTTATTCCAACGTTTCGGCTTCAGGAGCCATTTTCAAGAACCTGCAAACTAAATTTTAATTTACTTTTTACCATTCAAGTATAGCCTCAGACAATAAACTTGTATCATTCACCTACCATGCACCGCGCCATAAAATTTTTAAAATTTGTCATTACGATATGATTCGTCCTAATTCATTCTTTTATTTCAAAGAATGTCGTTTTCCGTTTCTAAAAATTATAATATATAATTATAAATTAAAAATAGACTGCTATAATTAATTTAAAAAAATTTAATTTTCAATTTATACACCTCTATTACAGGACTGGATTTACTTACATAAGGAGTGGGGTGGAGGGGTTAGTGATCAGCTGTTTTATATCAGTATGTTATATATTAATTTTGTCAATTGTGCTAGCATAAAACGTGTTTAAATTATCAACATCTGTCTGTTGATTCACTGAATGTTTTAGATTTTTAGTGATAAAAATGGATTCAATGATTCTACGTTTCCCAATATTTTGTTCTCTATGCAACACGGAAGCAGTACCGAAATCAAATTTATGTCCATTTTTTGTGGTATGCTGCGATAATCCTGTGGCTAATTTTGATTTTGTCGTTTTAGACCTGCAATTTTGTCTATGTTGCTGTATCCTACGTTCAAACCATTGTGAGGTTTGTCCGTAATATGCTTTATTTTCACAATCCTCGCATCGTATTTTATAAACAATATTAGTTAGTTTTTCTTTTGGAATAATATCCTTAGTTCTACTATATAATTTATCTAATTTATTAATAGGTTTTTTCCCAAATCAACAGACAAATGTTGATAATTTAAACACGTTTTATGCTAGCACGATTGACAAAATTAATATATAACATACTGATATAAAACAGCTGATCACTAACCCCTCCACCCCACTCCTTATGTAAGTAAATCCAGTCCTGTATGAATGCCCTATTGAAGAACAATACTTTCTTGATACCGTCTGCAAATAGAGGTATATAAATCGAAAATTACAAATTTTTAAATTAATTATAGCAGTCTATTTTTAATTTATAATTATATATTATAATTTTAGAAACCGAAAACGACATTCTTTGAAATAAAAGAATGAATTAGGACGAATCATATCGTAATGACAAATTTTTAAAATTTTATGGCGCGGTGAATGATACAAGTTTATTGTCTGAGGCTATACTTGAATGGTAAAAAGTAAATTAAAATTTAGTTTGCAGGTTCTTGAAAATGGCTCCTGAAGCCGAAACGTTGAATAAACATACATGTAATATATAAAAAATTGTGTTTTTTTGGTGACCTATGGCCTATAATAGACATATGTTAAATTATGAGAAAATGGCACCAAACCCGAAGGATGGGACTAGAAAATAGTTATTAAAATATATTTCAGGGGAAGGTTTATGGATAAGAGCGAATACTACATGCAAACTTTTTTTTTCATTTATCTTAATTTTCCACATTGTTGCCCAATCAGCAATATCGTTCAGATGATTTTGAAGAGTGGTCGATGCTTGAACAGGATTTTTATCTGAGCTGAGGATTGTGGTATCGTCTGCAAAAGTAGCCAGTATTATATCATTGTGTTCCGGTAGGTCAGATATATATGTATACATATATATTAAACAATATTGGTCCAAGGACACTACCCTGAGCTACTCCTGCTTTAATAGGTTTAATGTCAGAACGTTCTGTCCCTAATTTTACTACAAAATGTCTACCCGTTAGCAATTCTTCATGCCAAACTTTATCAAAGGCTTGACTAATGTCAAGAGAAACTACAGGGCAATAATTTTTAGATTATTATTATTAAATATTAAATCTCTCCTGTAATGATTTTTCAAGGTTGGCGAACTTTATTTTTCAAAAATCTTTCATTATTTTTGCTCCCAACCTAATATCTACATACTTATTCACTTTTGTTCTAGGTTCCGATGATGTATGGAAACAGAAGAGAAAGGATTACAATATTAATTTGAAGAAATCTCGAGTAGACACAGATTATTATAACACTTTTATTAAATACTCTGATAAAATGGTCGATATGATGTTGGCTTCGTCATCTCATATAGATGCACACGATATATGCACCGGTGTAGTATTTGACATCTCTATGAGTACGTTATTATTTAGAGATTTGATTATAATTGATTTGATTATAATATTATAATCGATTCATTAATTATGTTTTTGTTTTTCAGAAACAATGTTTGGTGTTGAGACCAATTTAGTATATGATCCCGAGCTAATAAGAGAATATAAAAGGTATCGTATAAAAATCATATTTCAAAAAGATATTTTGAAGTTCTGTGGTCAATAATATTTTCCTGGCACGCTACAATATTAATATCCTATGACAAAGAAACTACGGTGTGTTCTTTGGACCACATGATAGAAGTGAAAACAAGTCGAGATTAATAATATGAAATTTTTTTTTGTTCTATATTAAAAAAAACGCTTAAAATTATTTCACAATGGTTTATTATTCCCAAACAATTTAACATCTAAAGTAATTTTACTTTTCTAGTGACAGAGAATAAGAAAAGAAATGTGATTTCAATTTATTGGCGTGAACTTTTTTTTTTCATGATTAGTAATTTCCTAAAAAAAAATAGCATACTGAATTAACACATCCAAAAATCAAAAATCAAAACAAAGGATATAATCTTTGCAGTAGTACCATGCTCTTAATTGACGATTTTAATGATTTTTTTTTTTTTAGTAAATTTCGTAAACTTTTAAATAAACATTTTTTGTCCGATTACAATGGTACATTATTGAAAATAATAAACCAAAAATATTTAATATTCACAAAAAAGTGTATTCTTTTTGAGTTATTCGGAATCTCATATTACCATATCTCGTAATTTTTTCCAGCTTCTTTTCATTAAAGTATGTTATATAGATAAATTTAAAGGGCATCGAGAAGAAGACATTAGCTAAGTTTCATTGAAATCGGTACATTCGTTTAGACGCCACAGTCTATAGCAACGCAGGTTTTTCGGACGCCATCTTGAAAGGAAAAGGCGGATAGTAATGTCGATGAAGGAGTGTAGATGGCGAGTGACCTCTGATTTTAAACCCAAAAATGAAAAAAAGTAGGTTCGGAGAAAATGCGCGGACGGGCAAATTTTTATTCGTTTTTCGAATTCTACATATTTTGAAACATAAAAACTCAAATTTTGAGAGGGGATTAGGTTTTTGAATTTTTTGTCGGATTACAATAGTTCATTATTGAAAATAATAAACAAAAGTAATAACATTTACAATATATATAATTATAATTGTTTATAAATTACTTTGGTAAACATTGATGACTAATCGTCATTTGTATCATGTTCTAAAAATGATACAATAAGTTTATGATAACTAAAATATGTGATGAACAGTTTTAATTGAAATATATTTGCTAAATATCTAACTAAACTCAGTCTTTTTTTTTTTTTTAATTATACCTTATGTAACGGGGGTCAGTAATTTCTTGGTATTCTATCGAGTGGAACATAAAATAAAAAAGAAACACATAATTTCTTATTGTTTAATTTTATTTAAATTTTGAGATATTTTAGTCCAAAACGGTCGGTATTATTTGATTTTTTTCCTTTCTGACTCTCTTGTTCGACGTCTCATCAAAATAAAATTTTGTCTTGTAGCTCATTATAAAGAGGATGGAATGCTGAATATTCTCCTCACCTACAGCATGCAAGTCCGATTTATATTTTCTGAGATATTTTACTCAAAATGTACAACAAAATTCGTTATCGTTTTGTTTTCGACACAATTCACGCGTCTCCCTAACACGGTTTCTGTTAAGTAGTGTTGCTTAAAATCGGTCATGGTCTTTCACTTTGCAAGACCAAGACCAGGACTGGTAAAAAAAAATCGATTTTTAAAATAAAAATTAAGGCAAAATAGTTACTAATACTTGACAATCTTAGTTACTATATGTAAATAATTGGTATAACCAATATAGTTTTGCATTTAACTCCTCTAATTTTTCATTCGGGCTGAGTTAGGTTTCTCTTATCTAAAAAATGACAGTAATATCTCTATAAGACTTTTGCGAGACTCTTGCACAAGACCAAGACCATGACCATGACTGGTTTTGCAACACCAAGACTCGTCTCGGTCTCGCATTTGGGCAACACTACCGTCAAGATACACTTTTGAATAATAGCTCATTATTATGAGGATGAAATGCAGAATATTCCTTTGCTTACAATATGCAGTTCCAATTTTTAGTTTCCTTAGATATTTTAATCCATATGCAAAAATATTTCAATTAGCCAACTTTAGCCGAATGGGCGTTACACATCCAAATGACGGCTCATTCTAATTCACTATCCACAAAAGTGCAAAGACTAATGAAATTTTCACTTCAAAAAATCTCTACCACTAAAACCCATGTAAGTATTGGGATTCTGTTTCTACGTTGGAAAGTACTTTGTCTTGGTCACAGGTTAAGAAGGTGATTTGACCGAGATCATGCTCAACCACCACATTCTCCCACCCCAATTCATTAAATACTGTTATAAACCACAATAAATAATATTGGATTATTTCAGGATTAAAGTATTGACAGCCGTTGCTGCGTTCAACGTACCTATGCTCAATGTGATGCTTCCCATAATACATCCATTAGTAGATATCATCATAGGAAAATTAGCGGCATTACGGCAATCGGTAAATTTATTTTGTTCATGTATTTTAATTTAAATATCATTATGTTGATAAAAGGATCTATTTCAATGTCGTCTCATGTATTTTAGGTATTGGCAGAGATATATAATAGGCTAAAATCGAACGAAGGGCCACTTCCAGGTAAGAAGAAAAGAAAGAATTATTGAGAACTCCAATAATTACTATTTATTATAAAATAATTTGATAGCATTTAAATTTAAAGTAATTAAATAGTAAAAGCAAAGGGCTAGGATGTAAAGGCTCTTTCTCATTTAAGGCCTGATCACACGTTTATCCTTTAAAATTTTCGTATGTGGCCTCTAAAATTTGAGAGAGACCTCTGTTTCCGACAAAAATTCTTATATCAGTCTACCTAGAGTGTCTGTCTGATTGCTAAGAAACTCCACTACTTCAATGGCTTCATAACATGGATGGAAAAAAGTCTTGAGATTCCCTCCAAAAGCTGTCTCGATCTCATACAAAGGCCCTACTGGAGCCTACAATCGCCTTCGCTTCGTCACAACGAACGGTGTTTTTTCTTTAGCAACAACGTACATAGACTTTTGTTGTTTTCAATTTCATACACTGTTTTTGAGATTGAAAAATCTCACCGCAGTAAACGCGTTTGCGTCGCGGTAGCTTAGTCTGGCATGACTTTTCATGACGAAGTTTAGTAATCTTCCTACTAAATTGTTTATCACTATGGTGACATGTGTTCATTGCTAACATTATAAAATAATTATAATGTTAATAATTTATAATAATAATCTATAAGCAGACCCTACACGGTAATTCATGAATGAACGTCACAAGAAGTTCCAAGATTGCCCGCTATCGCTTTGATCATGAAGACCCTTACACGTTCAATCATTACTGATCATTACTTATCGTTGCTGATTTAGGTTAGATCGTTTCTGACCAATTTAGCGCAGATGTAAACAAAGAAGCAGAATAGATATGCTTATTTGGACATTGTCCTTTATAGTATTGGACATCAAGAGAAAAACGGAGATATAATAATTACTTCCTAGTGCCTGAAAATCGTTTAGACCAAAGTTATTCCAAAATATAAGTCAACTACATACAAAAATCTATGAAAAGTATTGCGAATCAATTTGTTAACAAAAATGGAAAAATTAATGGCAAATAAACACAACAGTTAAAGATTTTTTTTCTATAAGTAAATTGTGCAGTTTCCACTTTTTTTCTCTCCAATTTATTGGCTACTTGACTATTTAAAGAAAAAATAGTTGAAAATGGTTAATAATAATATAGACCAGGGATATAAACAACTATTTATTTTTATGAAATTATTTACTTAATGACGAGACCTAGGTAAACTAACCTATCTAGTAGTAAGGTTAGTCTCATAGAAAATCGTTTTGACAAAAGTTAGTAAAATATAAGTCTACTACTAACAAAAATTGAGGAAAGGTATTGCGAAAATAATAAATTTGTTGAGGAAAATAGGAAACGAACTGATAAATATACACAACGTTAAAGTTTTTTTTTTTTCATTTAAAGTAAATTGTGAAGTTTCCTCATTTTTTTTTTTAAATTTGTTGCCCACTTGACTATTTAAAAGAAATAGTTGAAGATGGTTTAAAATTATGAACAAGGGATATGAAAAATTATTTAACTATTTACATATAATGAAAATCAGAAATTTATAATGGTTGTGAGGCCTAGGTAACCTAACCTATCCAGCAGTATCGTTAGCCCCCCCACTACTTTTACCTCAGCCCCCCCTCCACTTCTCGTGAATGAACCTTTGATTTCCGGATGTTCGGAAATCCGCAGCGCACCACCATCAGTACTTCATTCACTACCTTACACGACAATTCGGAACGTCATTAGTGCAATTCCGATTGACCGTGTAGGGTCCCCTAAAGCCACAAGGGCGTATAGAAAGCATATTTGTGGAGAAAATATAAATGACATATGCCGCCTTTGCTAAAAATCAGTGGAGTCGATCCAGCATATAACTTCTGGATGTACAATAATGGCGGGTAAAGAATACTTACTGAGGCATAACAATGCAGCTAAAGTAGTACATCGATCCATGGACCAGGAGCTGGAACTGAGGGATTACTATTGTCCATATTACAAATATCATCCTGAATCAGTCATCTCCAAGCGTAATGTCAAACTGTTCTGGGATCACCCTGTACTTACAGATCACACTGTCCCTCACAATAGACCTGACATTCTAATAATCGATAAAGAAAAGAAAATAGCGTATTATAGATAATTGGAACTATTATAGAAATTGGAGTTCCTTTAGATGGTAATCTGCACAAAGTAGTGTCGGAAAAAAAAGAAATTATTCTTAAATTATTATTCTGTAAATCGTTATCACATTTCATTCATATTTACTCCCCCAATAATACCAACATTGGAATTAAATTTCATCGTGAGAAACGTTTTTAAAATAATCATTTCTGGTACATTCGATGTCAACTACTATCTTGCTTTAAGAAGATATAAACCTTTTTGAAAAAATAAAATACTTGAAATTGGTATTTTGTACCTGATTTTAGCGTTTCGGTCTCCTGTACGTCTTGCGGGTTTCCGGATACTGCGCCCTGATACAAATCACGCAGATACGATTTTTTTTAACTGTTTAGGATGAAATTTTCCAATTATTCTTTTCTTTAACAATTTCTGTCTTTCATATTTTATTTCTATGATTTGTAAAATGGGTGTTGTTCCACAGTTAGGCAAACAGGGTACAACCCTAGTACATACATAAACACGTACTTCATGTTATAACTTATTACAAGTACAATTAAGTGAACAAATTGTTTTTCTTTCTTTTTTTTAATAAAGATCAGCCCCTCTCAACATACGTGATATTAAATCATAAAAAAAATAATGGAAGCGAAAGAGCATTATTCAAGAAGATTCAAGAGTTGTTCCTAACAGTATGTATTCAGATTAGTATTTTATTAATATTTAAGTAAATAATATATCATCAGCCACACTGCAATAGCCTGTATGAGCAAAACAAAAATATATTTATATTTTCAGTCTGGGCACACTGTCGCTTCTGTATTATCAAACATGACATCTTTCTTAGCAGTGTTACCTGATATTCAGGAAAGAGCTTGGCAAGAGCAATATGAAATATTTGGCAATGACGTCAGAGATCCGACGATTGCCGATTTGAATCAGATGCAGTTTCTTAGCAGGTAGAAAATAAAATAAATATTCGATTCAATTTTCTATATAAAATTATAACTCAGGCAAGTATATTTAAAATTATAACTTAAGCAAGTACTTTCTGGGTCTCAATGGTCGAATGCCCTAAAACTAAACATTAATTATGCACCCCTGCGTGGAGTCCCAGAAGTCAGCGGACAGGTCAGAGAAGTTGGGTCCCTCTGCCGTAAATGCGGCAGAAAGTCTGAAACACCAGCCCATGTGCTGGGAAAATGCCCCAACAACTCCCTCCTCATAACACGTCGTCACCACCGGGTCAAGTTCGAGTTGATGAGGCTCCTTAGAGAAAAAAAATTCACCTGCTTTGACGAGGTATATTGCATCGATAGTGAAGGCTCTACGAGATACGCTGATATCGTCGCATTTCCCAAGACAGGAAGGACAGCGCTGATCTTAGATCCAACTGTCCGCTTTGAGAGCAATGACCTCGATCAGGCGGGTGAAGTGGAAAGGGAAAAGAAGAACACCTACGATAAATGTATCCCTTTCATAAAAGATAAATTCCGTTGGACCTTCGGAGAGAGAGAGTTCACCGTCAGAGGCCTCTGGTTTGGGTCTCGCGGAACTATCCCAAAAAGAACGAGGAGCTTCCTCGAGGAACTAGATGTCGACATTAAGGACGTAGCTAGGTTGGCTGAAAATATAGTCCTCGACTCCCTGGGAATCATTCACCACCACGTGCATGGCTAGCCCGAGAGTTTTAATTTATGTATTTGTTTATTTATTTATTTAGTGAATAATTGAAAAGAATAGAGATAAAGAGAGAGAAGTGAGAGAAAGGGAAACTTAATGTTAAATAAAAAAAAAAAAAAAAAAGCATGAACAATGAGAAGAAGGAAAAAGGAAAAAAAAAATTATAAAAATAAATAAAATAATAAAAATGTATATATATATTTCTATTTTACTAATATTAACTAATACTTCTGTATATTTATATATAAGTTCATAAGTTGTCTTAAGGATAGAAGAGTATGCTGTGTATATAGCAACCCAATATAATTGGGCAGCAATCCTTTATATTTTATGAAAATAAAGTTTTTCTCTCTCTATTTTTATAAGCATGCTTTTATCATCCTATTTTTAATAATATTTATATTTATTAGTTTAAGGTATATTTTTAAAAATATTTTAATAAATATATGCCTATTTTATTTAAGGTTCATAAAAGAATCTTTAAGATTCGTCGGTCCTCCATGGTTCTTTAAAAAGGCTACCGCTGATATAAATATAGGTAAGTAAAGTTTTAAAAACATTTCTTTTATAAAATTAATATTTTAAACATTCTTAATATTTAAACAGGGACTTCTCTTTAAACTCAAATCTATCCTGCCTAATACATACTATCTCATTCTTCAATCTTTCCTTTTCGACAGATTCTTCTCTGTCCGACAGGGTTTAGAAATTTCCTCAATTCGACCAATATCAGCAGGAGTGCCTCAAGGATCAATATTGGCACCTTTACTCTACATTGTCTATACGCATGACATGCCTACCACCTCTGAAACATTGACTGCTACTTACGCTGACGATACAACAATTTTAACAAAACACCACGACCCCAGACTAGCCTCATTAAATTTACAAAATCACTTACTAAATTTACAAAATTGGTATTCACTCTGGAAAATTAGATTAAATCATAACAAATCACAACACATAACATTTACGCTTCGACGAGAAACATGCCCACCAGTTTATATCAGCAACAATCCAATTCCTCAGACGGACACTATACGCTACCTCGGACTAATATTCGACAGAAGGATGACCTGGGGCCCACACGTCAAAATGAAAAGAAAGACTTTGAACAAGAGACTGAAAATATTATACTCCCTGTTTTCTAAATCAAAATTGAAAATTAGACAAAAACTAAATACATACACTTACCTGCTCAAACCCATTTGGACATACGCCTCACAGATTTACGGTTCAGCAAAAAAGACTCACTTACAAAAACTACAATCCTTTCAATCTAAAATTTTAAGACTAATAACTGCAGCTCCCTGGTACGTCAACAACAAGACTTTACATACCGACCTAAGACAACCAACCATTGACCAGCACATACGTACTCTTTACTCCCGATTTCATCTAAAACTACACGGACATCACAATGGACTTATCAACGACATGGCCACGGCTGAAATGCTCATCAGGAGGCGACTGAAAAGGAGCTGGATGAGAGATCTCCTTTCCTGATTTTAGGATGTAAACAGACCAGGGAAGAGGTGCTGCTGGGTTCCATTCTTCGTCATGCCTATCATGCCATTTTCTACATGGCCACCAATCTGCTAATTGTCACTACCATGACAGGTGCGGATGAAAAATTAAAGACAAAAAAAACAAAAAAAAAAACATAGTTTTATATTTTAATATATTTAAAGTTACAATGTTAGTTCAACTGTATAAATCCATTAAAAAGAAGGAACTAACATAGCATAACTTATGAAACTGAACGAACTTATGAATTGCTTCATAAGATTCATCTTTGGGATTCTCAAGCGTTCTAATGTTTCTTGACGGTACATTGGCAATTCCTTCTTTTTGTGTTTTTCTTTTCCAAGTCCTCAGAATCAAAAATCCTCCTTACATCTAAGAACTCCTCATTACATCCACTCTCTCAACACCAGATCTAAACCTATAAATTTATATATCCCCTCCCATAAAACCACTTCCTTCAGTAAATCCTTTGTCATTCGTGCTACCTCCTTATGGGGCTCCTTACCCATCCCCATACGTCGTACCACGTCCATAAACTCCTTCAAACAACTTCTATTTTACCACCTACTACATATTCAAACTTCCGCAAGCTTGTAAAAATTTCCGGGTTATATAATTACATTGGTCACCATCATTTAATTGATATAAGCCATTTTATTTTTATCTATTCACTTTTTTTCTGTCTCAGTATTTCTTGTATATATTGGTGTTTTTACTTAGTAAATTAGGACTTCAGTTCCAAAATAAAATTACTTTTTCATCATCACCAACTTGTAAATTTTTAGGTCATATTATAGATTGTTTTGTAAATTTCAGTTGTTATTGTTGTTGTTAATTTTTATATCTCGTTGGCAAATAAGTTCTTTCGGTTTTTCTCTTTATTTTTATGTCACTATGATACACTTCTTATCTGATGAATTAGTCCCTAAGGTGGATTGTTTATACTGTTTTTAATATGTGAAGAACTATATCTGTTAACTCTTGTTGAAACTAGCTTAGTATTTGGCTATTGCACTGTGAATATGGAAGAAAATACCATTCATTTTCGGCACATTTTGTTGTATTATTTTAAAAATGGTAAGCGTGCTGCAGAAGCTCATAGAAAAATTTGGAGTGTTTATGGGGACGATGCCTTAACCGAACGCACCTATCAAAATTGGTTTGCCAAACTTCGTTCAGTAAATTTTTACATCAATAATGCTCAACGGTCTGGTCACCCACATGAAATTGAAACGAGCAATGTTAACGCCATTGTTGATCAAAATCCCACCCAATCAGTGCGAGAGATTGCTATGGCCCTAAATGTGTCACACACAAGCGTAGAAAACCATTTGCACAAGATCGGCTATATTTCCAAGTTAATGTTTGGGTCCCTCACATGATTTTTTTTCGACTACAAAAAATGTTATAACTTCAATACGACTTTAGCTATCTACAAGAAATTTAACAGGATCTTCGTAAAAAAAAACTACAAATGGAGATAGAAACCTGTAAGATGTTTTTGTTTATTTATTCTTTATGTAAGAATTAAATCAAAAACAATTCATACCGCTTTGAATAGCAATAATTCAGCTTTTCAACAGATATAGTAACATCTAATTTGAAGAACATCCTGAATAACTATGAATGATCGGAAGGCTGTTATATATCCACCAAGACAACGCTAGGCAACCACACATCCACTGGTCACTCGCAATAAATTATCGAGCCTTGGATGAGATCTTTTGCCCCACCCTCCCTATTCACCAGACCTAGCTCCAAGAGACAACGACTTATACCACTTGCATCAATTTTTTTAACAATAAACTCTAGACATTTTATGAACATGGTATTATACAGTTAGTGTAAAGATGAGAAAAAGTCATATTTTATAATTGTCAATATATTGTAGATTAAAATAAATTTTATATCTATAATTCATTGGGTTTTATTTCACCCTGAGAAACCGAAAGGATTTATTTTCCAACCCAATATTTTCTTTAGTGCGATGAATATCTGAAACTAATAGTATGAAAGAATAAGCTATTATCTAGAGGAGGGCAACGTCTTTTCATTAAATTACTCAATTTCTTTATTATTTTTTTTCAAATGATCTTTTCTAGTGATGTAGTGTAAACAATTTTGACATTTATGGCAATAAATAAGTAAAAAATAGCAAAATGATTGACTGATAACAGTGCATTTCAATAAAAAATAAAATATAAATAAATAATAATAAATTGAAGAGAAAATTGGATGGGGTGTTCATTAAAAAAAATGTAAAAGTAAATAAATTATTTTTATTTTTTTTACCGACGTTTCGGCCCGAAATTGAGGCCTTCATCTTGGCTAAAAAAATACATATAACAATGGATGAGAAACTATTAATATTAAAAATAAAATAATAATATGTAGGTGAGAGGTATAGTCTAAAAAATGTAGTAGAATAAATTTAATGGAAATATAAAATGACGATAACAAAGTCAGGAAACTATGAATAAAATAATGAATACTTTTATTATTCGATCCTCATCCATTCCTACATCCGTCGTTGCAATACTCTCCTTACTATTAATTCCCGCCTATTCAATTACATTTCAGTAATGTATTTTGACAAAAGCATGTAGATTTTCGGATTATAATAGATTTAACAAAATAACGTTAATCAAGATAAACTGTACATGGAATATAATAAATTATGAGTGAGAAACAGAAAATTGGTTCGAGAAACGGCATCTAGACGTTTGTGAAAAATCAAATAGAAATTTCTTGCTCGGGAGCGTGGAGCAATTTCTCACCTCAATTTTTCCCCAATATCTTGGATACACATAAAACACTTTTAGGTAATGTAAGAAGTATTTTTACTCTATTCCATTTCTTTTTCCTTTTCTTTTTAATCTTCTTTATAAACTATAAAAAGATCATTATTTGCTTTTAAATTATATAAAATGACTTAGAAAAACGCTGCAAATTATTTCACAATAGTTTATTATTTCTAAACAATTATACATCTAAAGTAACATTACCTTTCTAGTTACAAAGAAAAATAAATAAAAGGTGATTCTAATTAATGGACTAAACTTATTTTTTTTAATCATTAGTAATATGCTAAAAAAATTAGCATTACCTAAGTAACACATTCAAAATTAAAAAACCAAAACAAAAGATATAACCTTTGCAGCAGAACATACAAAAAAAAAAAACTAGAGACCATATCTTTCATCCTAATTGTCCGATTTTTTTTTTTTTTTTTTTTTTTTTTTTTTTTTTTTTTTTTTCGGAAATTCCGTATTAAGACCCCATAAAATATCAACAAAGTGTATACTTTTTAATTTATTCGGAATTTAATTTTAGCATCCCTCGTAATTTTTTTTCCAGCTTCTTTTCGTTGAAGTATGTTATATAAATAAATTTAAAGGGTGTCGAGAAAATGTCTTTATCAGGGTGACCTCTGATTTTATATCCAAATTTGAAAAAAAAAAATACTTTTGGAGACAAAAAATTGTATTCGTTTTTCGAATTCTACGTATCCTGAAACGTAAAACCTTAAATTTTGAGAGATGGTCAAGTTTTTGAATTTTTCGTTCGATAACAATGGTTCATTATTGAAAATAATAAACCAAAAATATGTAAATACTCATAACTTAAGTGACTAATATTAATATTTTTATTTTCAGATGGAATAACGATACCATGTGGTGCTGATGTGGTTTATTTGTTGAGATATATTAAATTTGATCCAAAATACTTTAAGAATCCAAACACTTTTGACCCAGATCGCTTTCTTGATGACAGCGAAGTGTTAAAATATGGCCTTTCAGCATTTGGAGTCGGTATAAGGAACTGTCCGGGTAAATCAATTTGATTTATTGAAATGTTTTCTTAAAGGAAGGAGATGGTCCGGGGTTGAGGTCAGAAATAGGCTAAATAGTAGTAAAACTATTTTATTGAAAGCCGACGTTTCGATCCGACTTTGCAGGTCTTCTTCAAGGAGGTGTTTAGCTAGGAGTTTCCCTTAGAAGTCAATGTTCAAGTTAGTTCTAAGTGAAATTCCTAGCTGAACACACCTCCCTGAAGAAGACCTGCAAAGTCAGGTCGAAACGTCGGCTTTCAATAAAATAGTTTTACCGCTATTTAGCCTATTTATGACCGCAACACCGGACCATCTCCTTCAAACTATTAAATTCAACTATTAAATATTCGAAATGTTTTCTTGTCTAAAATCTAACACGGAATGAACATTTTTCTTGTTTTATCCATAGTTATAAAATAGAAATTAGTTATTCTGGACTCGTAAATATGCATAGTATATGCTATGATATTTATGAGACAAAATATTTATTATTTTGTATTGAAATGGTATCTACAACCTTCAGAATGTTTCGTACCAGAGATAGATACAAGAATGTTGTTGTTTTGGGCTTAGTGGCGTAAAACCAAGAGATAATCAATGCCTAAAGGTACAAGAATGGAACAGTGTTAAAAATAGATGGGGGAGGGAGCAGAGGAGAGGTAGGATTCAAAAAAATAAAATTGGAATTTTAAGGTTGTATTTGTTATTGATCAAATAATTCACCATTCAAAAGAAATGAAATTGTTATTCAATCATTTCAATTATTTTTTCAATTCAAATTTCATTTTCACTGTATAACATGTTTTACTTGGAATATAATGGAAGTTCTATATTTATTTAAAATATAAAGAAAATGCTAATAATAAAAAATTAAAAAATAATTTATAGACTATTTAATGTTTCCAATATTTTGATATTATGTATTGTGTAAATCAACCAAAAATATCAAATTTTAAAAGACCTATATTGCTGGACCATTCCAATTCCAATTATGTTTTTTTGTTATTTTTTATGTTGTTTTATTAAAATTCCTGAGATAATGCTCTGAAAGAAGTTTGCTTTTCATTAGTAACTACTGACATTCAAGGTGTCTTCTTTTAAGTGGAATTAATACTTGAAATGACCGATTCCAAAATATTATAATCAAACTGCTCCACTACAATAATTATCATTGATTAAATAACAACAGCTGTGGAAAAAACGAAATTTAATACTAAACAATTAATACAAAATAAACATTACTTTTAAGTTATTCTCCAACCTGTGAGAGAAAAGGTTCCAGTTCATCTGAGTAATTAGGACCCCCAAGTGCTCTATCTGTTTTTAGGAATAGATCGAGAAAATGACACCTTTCCTGTTGCAGAATTATTTTTATCTTCACATTGTGATGATTCTTCCGGCACAGAAAGCATTTGTTTTTCTTGTGATGCTCTTTTTTCTTGTAGTTTATATACAATGGCTATAGATTCTTGTGGCTTCGATTGCTTTCAATGGCTAGATAAAAAAAAATTAAAAAAACACTGCAAATTATTTCACAACGGTTTATTATTTCCAAACAATTATACTTCTAAAGTAACATTACCTTCCTAGTGACAAAGAAAAAGAAATAAATAATAGGTGATTCCAATTATTGGACTTTTTTTTATAATCATTAGTAATATGCTAAAAAAATTAGCATTACTTCAGTAACACATTCAAAAATCAAAAACCAAAACAAAGTATATAACCTTTGCAGCAATAACATATAAAAAACATCTAGAGACCAAATCTTTGCTACTAATTGTCCGATTTTAACTTTTTTTTTTTAGGAACTTCCGTAAACTTCTAAATAATCATGCCAACAAAAAAATGTATACTTTTTGAGTTATTCGGAATCTAATTTTACCATCTCTCGTGACTTTTTTTCCAGCTTCTTTTCGTTGAAGTATGTTATATAGATAAATTTAAAGGGCATCGAGAAGAAGACTTTAGCGTAGTTTCATTGAAATCGGTTAATTCGTTTACGCGCTACAGTCTATAGCTACGTTTTTCTGCATTTTTATTTTTTTCTCCTTTATTAACTTATCAAATTCTTTCAAAAGTTATATTTAGCATTTTTTCGTAACTCTGAATAATGTGAAACAATTAACTTTTTAAAATAAACCATATTAAAGGTACTTTAGAGGAAGACGTAAATGAACATTGGGCATTTAAGGCCTGTAAAGTGACATCAATGGGGAAAAGACCTAATTGATATTAAAGACCTCTTAATTATACAATGATACTCCGAGTTTAATCAAAATCGTTAGAGCCGTTTTTGAGAAAATTGTGAAAATGTATTTCAGCGTTGATATAAAGTGACACTTCCTGTTAGCCGATTTTAAGGAAAAAGTTGCCGTCACAACTAAGGCATATACCTATCTTAAATACGTGATATCAGTTTTATAGGACTTTTCGTTTTTGAGATCACATCTTTGCTCCTAACTATCCGATTTTTTTAAAGGAAATTCCGTAAACTTTTAAATAACCATATTAACAAAAAGGTGTATACTTTTTGAGTTATTCGGAATCTAATTTTACCATCCCTCGTAACTTTTTTTCCAGCTTCTTTTCGTTGTAATATGTAATATAGATAAATTTGAAGGACGTCGAGAAGAAGACTTTAGCGAAGTTTCATTGAAATCGGTACAATCGTTTACGCACTACAGTTTATAGCAACGCAGTTTTTTCGGTTGCAATCTTGAAAGGAAAAGACGGATAGAATGTCATGAAGGAGATCATCGGTGCTATAATTTTAAATCCAAAATTGAAAATAATCGGTCTAGTAGCGGGAAAAATGCGCAGACGGCGTGCGGATAAAATTTTTTTATTCGTTTTTTGAATTCTACGGATCCTGAAACGTAAAACCTCAAATTTTGAGAGAAGGTTAAGTTTTTGAATTTTTTGTTCGATTTCAATGGTTCACTATTGAAAATAATAAACCACTGAGATCGAAGGTATATACAAAATCTTTTCTGAATATAATTAAGGCGATACGAAGACATTCCACAAAGATGATTATGGCATAGAAACTTTGACATTAAACATTAAAACTAATTTAACAAGTTTTATATCATTATATTTTAGTTAATTGTATATATATTATATACCCTTGTATTCCCTGTAATCAGCTGTTCAATATAATCTTCCTTAGCTGTCTTAATAGAACCTTATCTTTCTTTTAGTGTGTATTTGGATGGCTTCGTGAGATGTCGACTGCAATATATAATTTTTTCTTTTTTCGTATCATATATGTGGTCCTGGTTTTTCTGCCACGATGATACTTTAATTGGTGAAACGTTGGATAGTTATCTATTCACATATATGTTAAAGATTCATTGCTTTGTAGTTTGGATTTTTTCATTAACAATTACTTCTAGATAACAGTTAATAATTTTATTTGACAATGAAAATAAATCTCGTATATTTTTCAGGTGAATATTTTGCAACAATATTAATGAAAATTGCACTGTCCAAAATGTTAAGAAGGTTAAAACTTAAAACAGTCGATAAAGATTTCCGGTTTGAAGATTTGAAGTATAGTAGTTATCTTTTGGCGGATGTGGACAACCCTCCTAAACTACAAGTTGAAAAAAGAACTTAATATATTTTTAGTATTTAATATTAAAGGTTAAAATAATAATTAATCTTATAAAATATTATATATAACTATATATATATTTTTGCTAATCAGCTGTTCAATATAACCCTCATTTGTTTTGTTGCTGCATCTTCATCTACCATAGTATTGTTATAAAATTTGAATATTAGCTCTCCTCTATAGGGAATATCATACATATAGATGCGCAGCTTTATATATATATATACATATACACACACATTACTACAATCATCCTTATCTGCCTTATCGATATTACTTGTTAATTAAAAAATTATCGATTTATTAATATAAAGCTGCGCATCTATATGTATAATATTCCATGTAGAAGAGAGCTAATATTCAAATTTTATTACAATACTTTGACAGATGTAGATGCTGCAACAAATTAGAGATGGGCAGCTGAATCCAGAATCGATTCCTCTGAAAGAATCGCACTCTCAAGTAATTCAATCGAAATCGGTCGATTCAATAAGTATTATTAAAAACAACAATTTACAAATTACAAGTAAGAAAAAAACAACTATATACATTTATAAACCAAAGAGAGATAAAAAATGTAAAAAAAAAAATCGATATAAATAAGCATAGGTTATAAATGTCCGAAGTGTAAAATGCTCGTGGAATAATAGATTCCGAAAGTAATCAAAACAATTCAGCAAAAAATGCAACAAGGCTGGAAAATTTTCTAGAACAAACGAAGTGAATTAATCGATTCAGTTTGGAATCTTCGATTCACCTGGTTTAGTCTAAGGAATTTCCCAACCGTGTTCCAATGTTTGTTGTGTTGTTTTGTTTACTTTTCGAATCAACTCTTCCACGAGCATTTCGCACTTCGGTCATTTATAACCTAAAAATAATTATGCTTACTAACAAAACTCACAACACAACTTTGTATACTATATATGTAATTGTTTCAATAAACTTTTTGGAGGGTAAGAAAAAAAAAAAAAAAAAAAAAAAAAAAAAAAAAAAAAAAAAAAAAAAAAAAAAAAAAAAAAAAAAAAAAAAAAAAAAAAAAAGCTTACTAACATTACTATTTTTTTCTCCGTCTTTGTTTTATTTAAATGTGTACAGTTTTCTTTTTCTCTCTTATACTTTTATTTTTAATTACCTATAGTTACGTAAACATTTATTTCATCTATTTCTCCTAAAGATTGTCACTGAAGATATTATATATATCATGGGTTATAAATATTCAGGACGCAATCATTATAAGGTTTTTATTAGTGCCGACGTTTCAATCCAAACATGAGGATCATCATCAGGGCGTGGTTCGAGCACTGAAGATATTCAAGTACTGAGGAGTACTTGAATATTTGAGTATAGTTACAGTATAGTTGAGTATTTGAATATCTTCAGTGCTCGAACCACGCCCTGATGATGACCCACATGTTTGGGTTGAAACGTCGTCACTACTAAAAACCTTATAATGATTACTTTATGAATATTTATCATCCATGATATGTAGAACAGTCGGCTATCTTCCTTTAATAATTTATTATATATATATTGTTTAATTTTTATTAATGTACTTTTTGGCCAAAAATGGTTTTAGTTTTTTGTACCCTTCGACGTAAACATATGACCTCATGTCCCACAGTATCCTTTAATAATACCCCACTTATCCCTGTTGAACAAATCCGATACCTTGGACTTCACTTGGACAAACGTCTAACTTGGAATCCTCATACCAGACTGAAACGACAATAAACCGCTCGACGTTTCCGACTACTCCAACACTTACTAGACAAACGCTCTAAACTTCCCATTAATTACAAAAGAATCATATACTTGACTATAATAAGATCTGTTTGGACTTACGGAGTTGAGCTATGGGGCTCCACTAAACCATCGAATTCCTCTCGTATCCAATCCTTACAATCCAAAATCCTTCGTAAAATCCTCAATGCTCCTTACTTTGTCACTAATGAAATAATCCATAAAGACCTCAATGTTCCATATGTTTCCGATTTGGCCAAATCCAGATACCTATCCTTCCATAATAAACTTCACAACCATCCGAATCCTCTTGTTTCTAACTTTGCTTCCTCTCCTGATAACCCTCCGAGGCGTCTGAAAAGAAGATGGCCTCGTGATCTTCTCATATAGACAAATTATTAAAGTGCTACCAGTGGGTAGTTTCTCAACAAGCGTGTTTCATGTGATAATATTCCTCTGTACACATTTACTTGATGTATTCATACTAATACAGTTGTAAATATCATAATAAAAGTTTAAAAAAAAAAAGTTTTTTGTTCATAATTGTTATTCTTAAGAGACCTTGTCCCAGAAGTTTATTTTCTATCTATCTATTTAATTAAATGTATGACCATAATGTCATGTTTTATTTATTTATATTTTTTTCCAAAGTGTCATCAGTTCCAGGATAATAAAATTATATTTCATTTCATTTACAATTATATACACAGTCCACAATGTAATAATTAAAATACCTTGCTGATAAATACTTTAGAGTAAACCAAAATAATCTCTGCTCATCCCTCTTTACTCGATCTGCAGGTGTTCCTCAAGGTAGTATCCTCGGTCCAATCCTCTACACAGTTTATACAGCTGACATCCTAACCCTTCCTGGCACTAACACACTTCTTCGATGACACATGTTTGCTATCTATTAATGATGACTCTTTAATTGTATCCTAACCTCTTCCATCAAGTATCATAAGCCTTGAGGAATGGTGTAAAAATTAGAGAATAAAAATAAATTCCAATAAATCCCATCAAATCAACTTCACCCTTCGTCGTAAACCTATGACTTCTTGTCCTACAGTATCCTTCAATAATACTCCACTTATTCCTGTTGAGCAAATCCGCTATTCAGGACTCCACTTGGATAAACGTCTTACTTGGAATCCTCATACTAAACTGAAACGACAAGAAACTGCTCGACGTTTCTGACTGCTCCAATACTTACTAGAAAAATCCTCTAAACTTTCAACTAATTACAAAAGATTCATCTACATAACCATAATAAGATCTATATGGACATAAGGAGTTGAGCATTGAGACTCCACCAAGCCATTGAATTTCAATCATATCCAATTCTTAAAATCCAAAACTATTTATAAAAACCTTAATGTATCAAAAGTCGCTGATTTAGCCCGAGCCAGATACCTATCCTTTCATGATAAACTCCAGTCCCATCCGAATCCACTCGTTTTCTGTTTCGCTTCTTCCTCGATTCCTGATAATCCTCCTAGGTGCCTGAAAAGGAGTTGGCCCCGTGATCTTAGAATTATTTAGGAAGTGCTACCACTGAGTAGTATCTCTTAAAGCCTGTTCATGTCATTATTTCTAATTTGTGAATATTTACTGGTTGTATTTTTATACTTTTGTAAAATTATTTCATAAAATAAACAAAAAAAAAAAAAAATAAAATAAAATAAACATTTCCTATCCCATTTACACTCCCTTCTTATTTATAAGATTTATGATTCTTTATTTGAATATATTTGAACCAGGACATTTAATTTTAATCAGTTTTAAAATAATGTTTTTGCCTGAATAATCATAAGGTTTGAGAATGTTTTTTAATGCTTTGTTTATTTTTAATTTAAAGAGATGAGAAGAATCATTCGAGAATAGTTCATAAAAATCTATTCACCATAATGATTGAATCGTTGAGAATCGATTCAATTAAACGAATCGAATTTCCCATCTCTACAACAACTAATTTATATTAAATAATTACTTGTAAATTTTTAATCGGAATCGCTGACTATAGGAAAGCTGAAACACTAAACTTCAATTTATATACTTTATAGAAACTCATAGAAAAGTTTGCAGTGTTTATGGGGATGATGCCTTAACCTGACGCACCTGTCAAAATTGGTTTGCCAAATTTCATTCAGTAAATTTTGACATCTCAACGGTCTGGTCGCCCACATGAAATGGAAAGTTAACAATGCTAAGGCCATTATTGATCAAAATCCCACCCAATCAGTGCGAGAGATTGCTATGGTCCTAAATGTGACACACACAAGCGAAGAAAACAATTTGTACAAACTCGGTTATGTTGTCAGGCTTAATGTTTGGGTCCCTCACTCTTTAACCGAAGTCAACTTGGCAACACGTTTTTGATTAACTACGGAAATGGCTGTAAAGGACCCATTTTTGAAAAGGTTGGTAACAGGAGATAAAAAATGGATATTTTACGATAATATAGTCCATGGAAAATTTCCTGGATGAATGTCAAAACCAAGATTGCATCCAAAGAACACATAATGCTATCCTTATGGTGAATTTCAAATGTGCTATTTTCTATGAGCTATTGCCATGAAGACCAACAATTGATTCATCTCTAATTTGCTCACAATTAACACAATTGGATCAATCAATTAAAAATAAACGCCCAGAACTGGCAAATCGGAAGGATGTTGTGTTCCACCAAGACAACGCTAGGCCCCACACCTCATTGGTCACTTTCAATAAATTATTGAGCCTTGGATGGGACCTATTCACTAGACCTAGCTCAAAGTGACAATCGCTTATTCCGGTATCTACAGACTGGAAATTCAGAAAAGAAATTTCAAAAGGAATAGAACATCAAATCACTTGTATCGGTTTTTAACAATAAACTCCAGACATTATGCAGTTAGTAGAAAGATGGGAAAAAGTCATATTAGATAATGGTCAATATATTGTAGATTAAAATAAATTTTATGTCTATATTACATTGAGTTGTACTTCACCGGGAGTGGGTTAGCTCAGTGCTAGGGCACTGAGCTTCCAATGCGAAGGTTCCAGGTTCGAATCCCGGCTCATGGCAGAAAATTTATTTATGCGAGTAAAAATAAACGATGCAAAAGATGGAGAAAATGGGTAAAAAATGAGATCTGTAAAAGAGGAAAAAATGCATGCACATCAAAATAATATTAAATAAAAGTATTGAATCAATCAAAACAGAAAATAAATAAATAATCAATCCCCCTTTTGAACGTTTACCATATCTATTGAATAAAAAA